CTATTGGTCTTTATAGTTCTTTTGCACTTTAATCTGTGTAAAACTTTTAACTTTATACATTTTTCTGTATTGCTTTATTGCATTTAAATGTTCAGTTATTTTTGTTATAAGAAAAAAGTTATTAAACCTGTTATACTGTATTATGACAGCACTTTTTTTTTACTTAATTTCAATATCGTGATAATACCGTATACCGTGATAAAAGCATTAGCAATTAAATCGCAACATGAAAATGTAGGGATATGCCGGTATCAAATTTTCATGTTGCGATTAATTGCTAATGCTTTTATCACGGTATGCGGTATTATCACAATATTGAAATTTTGTTAAAAAAAAGTGCTGTCATAATACAGTATAAGAGGTTTAATAACCTTTTTCTTATAACAAAAATAACTGAACATTTAAATGCAATAAAGCAATACAGAAAAATGTATAAAGTTAAAAGTTTTACACAGATTAAAGTGCAAAAGAACTATAAAGACCAATAGGTATCACTTTACAATAAGACCTCATGCAATGGAGCAGCTCTAATGCTATTAAATTAAAGATGATGTAGGCTACCAGAGAGAGAGAGAGAAAAAATTAACAGTGAAAATTGAAGTTAACCAACTAACATTATACATACTCTTTTGTTTTCTTTACCCAATATTTTAAAAATGTACAAATGCAATGAAAATACTGGTATCGGTACTCGGTATCGGCAAGTACCAAAAATAAAAGTATCGGTATCGGGCGAGTACTGGAAAAAGTGGTATCGGTGCATCCCTACAAAAATCCAAAACTAAAAAGATGAAAGCCATGAATGAATAAAGGATTGATTAATGATCCTCACATTACATTTAAGAAAAAAAAACAGTTCTGTTTTTTTTATGTTAATAAGAAAGAAAAATAAGTCTTACCTTAATGTTTTTAAAATGAAATGGCTCCTTGCAGTATTTACAATTAAGAGTCCTTTCTGGGCATTCCCTCTCATTGTGACGATCGAGTTCGTTGGCTCTCAGAAGCTCTTTGCATGATGGGCAGGAAAGGATCCTGAAGTCACACTTTCCCTCATGGTTTGCCTTTCAGAGATCAAGAACCATTCAGATGGTGCATGTCATTTTAAAACTGTTTGTAAACTGCAAACAACACTTCCTAATAAAATAAATAAAAGATTAAGATGGTTTGCTGGTCTTAGTTGATCCCCCAGTCTGGTCAAGCTGGTTTGTTAGTGGGTTTAGGGCACTTTTCAGCTGGTCAGGCTAGGAGATCTGCTTGTATTGTGTAATTCTATTACATATTATGTTATTTACTCAATATGGTATTATCTTACTCAAAATATTATGTATAATCATGAAAGTAATCAATATACTAATCAATATGCTGAATTATTCCCAATACTGGATGTCTTAATGAAGATTGTATGTATGAGGGCCCTTCCATCGGGCAGTGTCAGTGGTTTACATGGGATTGTGCCAGTGAACTTGAGTAACCCAATGAACTTTGGGTGATTTCCAGAAGTTGACAGTAAGGAGTAAACAGATTTGATGTATGTCTCATGGGACCACCGCCAACCAATGGGAAGCGGCAAAATGAAAGTTTTAAAAAAAATGGTTTGTCTCATGGGACCACTGCCAACCAATGGGAAGCGGCAAAATGAAAGTTTTTGAAAAATGGTTGATTTGGCCAAATTCCACCATTAAAAGATGGACCAGGTGTGCTAGTAATAAATTGTGGCAAACCAGACAGGCATAACCGATAAAAAAAAACGGAACTACCAACTTTGGTAAGGGAAAGGGGTATAAATATGGGTGCCTGGACGGACAAAGACTCAGATGCGGCGGCTGTCATCTCGGCTTTGTTGCTGTGCTCAATAAAGTCTTATTTTGACATCTGGAACTCTGCTTCTTGAGCTTTTTTGACAACTTCGAAAAAGACCATTGTTTGTTCCACGACACTTGCCAACCAGTTATGTACGAGCCTGGCAAAGCTGGTTTAAGCTGTTTTTTTTTAAAGCATGGAAGGGACACGCAGTACCTCATATTCTTTGATGGTGCCTGTCCAGCTGCATTCCTCATTGATGCAAACAGCTTCAAGAGCTTCAACTTCTCTTTTGGCAGCATTATCAGGAAAAGCCTAAAATAAATTTGCACATAGCGAAAGTGAAATCTTCTTCCAACTTTCATTTGTCCCATTACTGACAGTGAAAAATTGGTTAAGGCCTGTTCACACCAAGAACTATGACTATAAAGATACTTATCGTTCACACCAATGGAAGATAACATTCTGTTTATTTTAAGCACACAGAAACAAACTGTTTCAATAATATTGTTCCTCTGTGGTGTGGATTTTTCTATTCTTATAGAATTACAACGTGTATTAAACGTTTACTGTTATCGTTATCATCCTTTTCAGTGTATAAAAACTGGCTGCCTAAAATGCCATTTGCCACCAGCCTTCCGAAGAACTTCAGAGGAAGTCACAGCTTCTGCCACAATTACTGCAGTTACTGTACAAACTGTACTTCAGTTAATGTAAGAATAGAAAAATGGTATTATAGTAAAACTGTATATTTTTCCAAATTTTTAAAGGAACTTTGTATTAGTTACAAAAATGTCCAAAATATACAAAACAAAAAAATTATGGTGGTTTTACCATTTTAGTAGATGTGGCATTTTAGTGGAAACTACAGTGGTTACAGTTTGTGAATTCTCATTTTATTTTTATTTACTTATTTATTTTTGGAAGGGTTATCAGCACTAAAAATATTTCAAGGCGATTTTCCTACCATTTCAATTGTACAGTATAACAAAACGAATACTTACACAGCCCTGTTTCAAAATTGATGTTGGTTCTTCAAATATGTTCTCCTTTATACAGGCACTGCATTTCTGTGGTCCGGAGCTGAGATGGAAAAGTAAAGGTTTGATACACACAAGCACAAAAATAATAATAATAATTCGCGGATAAATACAAAGGCACACCACATATAGTAACAGTTGATTTTGACAACCGCTGCAACAGTCTGGCTATTGTAGTTTCCAGCACGCCCAGCTAAACAAGAAGCCGAACACAACCTGACAGCCTGCATTTATTTATGTTCCCCGATCTGAAGCAACGTTTACTGCTTGTATACCCATAAAATATACCATAAAAATGGCACGGGAGGCCTGACAGGTCGTGTTCATCTTTTGTAGTGTCGTGTCAGGTGGGCCATCTGGACTGAATGCCGCTTACCTCACAGCTTTATTAAAACAATAAGAACAGAAACGATGTCCGCACTGCGCCTGAAACGGTCTCCTAAGGATTTTCAGACAGATATTGCACAGATGCTTGTCCTCCAGTTTGTTGGCGAGTATTTTCTTGGGGAAGCCAGGTTTGTTGCCTTCTAATGAAGATGGTGGTGAGGGTTCCTGTGCAGCCATTATTCCCTAGCGCGCATGTGACCAGGCTCCGGAGAAAAGACACGGATCTTTCTACACATTTCACTGAAAGGGGTTGTAAACAGACGATTTTGCATTGTGTCACATAAAAGGATTAACTTAATATGCATAGTTAAATACATCTAAATACACGCACGGTTTAATGTTTATACAGGCATGACGGCTATGACAAAATACCATCGTCAGAATAAAGTTTTATAGTAGCATTTACTGTTGTTGGGATCTCTGATTATTTTCATAACAATAAATATTGTTACGTTTTAAAATCACATATGCCCTACCATATTATGGTCCAACGAACATTATAAAACCTCCTGCAGTGCTGTAAAACATTGTATCAATTACATTCAGCGTTCTTGCCGTGTGCAGTCATAAGTATGGTCATAATTTATTATTATTATTATTTATAGTGTTCCTTAAAAAGGTGAGTAACGGTAGGCGTCGTGTTCTCTCCAGCTGCTCATGGATGGTAGCGTCCACTAGGGGGCGAATGATGATGACAAAATATGTGAAGCTAGAACTTTAACGTATTAAAAATTACAAAACAAAAGTCTTCTTTCTTTTATTGAACAATCATAAAAATAATACAATTATGTATAGGATGCATATTTAAGATGAATTAAATAATAATAAATGAATTAATATTATTATTACTACTACTATTACTGTTGTTTAGAAAAAAATACAAATAAAACCCACAAAATAAACATCAAGCGTAGACGCATCATATTTTGCAGTAGAGCTCCTTTCCACCATTACTGAATAATTGTAATACGTATTTTTGCCGATCATCTTCGTCTTTTATTTTGAAAATATTAATAATAATATCTCCGTCACCATCTGTCAGTGTCGCTGTTTTCACGGAGACAGCCTCTTGTTGATACTGTTGTCACGAAACGAAAGCTGGACTGATAATTGCGGTTGTTGGCACAGACCTACCTCAGGCCAGTAGTAGTTTATTACTTGTTTCTGTGTAGATTTACAGAGTCTAATGACTCGAATCGCATGACCAATACTGTAGTGAGCGTTATACTGTAGCTGACCAGCAATGGACACTCTTTGAGATGGCAGCACAAGCATCTAGATTAAACTAATCAGACTTCAAAGCAGCTATTTAAAATACCTTTGTGCCTATTCTGATGTGTTGACTGTCTCTGTATCATTGAATAATTCCTTTAATGTCTAACGTTACTCGTTCTTGGACTGAGAATAAGAACGAAAAGTACTAGCGAGTAGTTTTACTTCTCTAGCGAAACAGCAGCTTCAGGTGGTCGTTAACAAGCTTCGGCAATAATAAGGTAAGTGTGTAATGTTAGTATGTTTATTCTAGCAAATACTTTTTTTAAAGGAAAAATATAAGTCATATAGTAATAAAGCCTGTTATGAAGTCCGTGGAGAACGTTGTACAATCTTTGTTTCACTACGGTGTATTTTTCCCCTTTTACCATCTATATTTTATTAAGGACATTTTATCCAGAAACAGTTTCATGTCCGGTATGTGTTTAATGAGTTTTCTCTTTTTCACACAGACTATGGCCGGGGAAAATACCCAGTTTTGCAGTAACTGGTAAGTAAAATAAATATAAATGAATAAAAATGATGTCGTCATTCACTTACCCACATGCTTTTCCCAGTACAGAACAAAAGGGGATGTTAGTCAGAATGACAGTTTTAGTCACCATTCACTTTCATTTAATCTTTTCCCCAAAAAATGAAATTGAACGGTGACTTATTCTGTCATTTTGTCTAACATTATTATGTTGCACAGGAGAAAGAATGTCAAACAGGTTTGGAAAATCTTGAGGGCAGGTACATAGTTTTTATTTTTGGGTGAACTATTCCTTTGGATAAGGAGTGCTGTTTAGTAGTTTCGGTTTAGACAACTGTTCTAACTGTTCACTTGTGTGTTACAGTCCCTCCCATCTGTCCGTGTCCTCCCTTCCTGACTATCATGATTTGGCTGACGCGCTTTTGTCCAAAGCAACTTGTGTTACACTTTTTACAGCGAGAGTTTCTCAGGAATAACCATCACTTAATTGTCTTAGTCAAGGGCACAATGGCAATTGTGGGATTTATTGAACTGATAATGTGTCAACCAACTGACCATGATATGCGCTTTGTCTCTAGCAAGCATGACATTCCAGAAGCCAACTTTACAACACATGAGAGCCACTGTCGGCGGAATATTGCTCTTTGTGAGGTGTGCCAGGAGCCTTTTCCTCATGCTGAGCTTGTGCAGCACAAAGAGATGGACCATGCAGAGGTACGATCCGGACGTGATGTATGAGTAATTGACTGTATATTTAATAATATTCCTAAGGACCTAAGTCAGAGTACTGTAGACATAAATAAAAAACAAAAAAATCTTAAAGTCGACAAATAATTCTACGGGTTGTGAGAATCAGATTAAAATTTTAGATTTCTTTCCCCAGGTTACTGTCCCTAATGCTGATCCAAACCAGTATGACTTTATTCTGCAGAACACACACACACTAAATGTTCTGAAGAAATGCCATATTTTTATGTCTGTACAATGAAGGTCAGTGGAGTCAAAACAGAAATGATAAAAAAACAAGACATTTAGAGATCTTAACACATCGTTTTTGTTTAGAGTGAGCTATAAACATCAAGTCACTATCAAATCAAAATTGTCCCTTGTAATCTTTAATCAAAAACATTAACTTAACCTCCCTATTGCAATGACATCTCTTCTCACAACCTGTCATTCATAGATCACAGCAATTAGCAAACAACAGTGATCCAATTAATTCCAGACAAAAACAAATCCAGCCCTACTTTTTTTCCTCATTCGAGAAAATGTTTAACTCCGATATATGTAGCAATAGAGAAGAAAAGACAATCACAAGTTTCCCTTCGTGCTGACTTTAAGACAGTAGGATATATTGAACATCAGCACTGTTTTAAATAGCATTCATTTAAACATAGCATCAGTGTTATCTATATTGCAGAATGAAACAGAAACGGAGTTGTTGTTGTTCTCCCCAGGCTGCTAAATTTAGGTTTTATAAAATCTATTCTAAACCTCTTTTTACAGGAACAGTGCAAATGTGGATTAAAGATAGAGAAGAGGTTCATGGAGGTCCACCAGGTACAATATAAACATTTATGAATATTGCTGTATTCGGTGATGAGTTCTGTATATTTGATGACTTCTTACCCCTTTCAGAGGTCAGAGTGCAGTCATCGACTTGTCCCGTGTCAGTTCTGTGATCTGGAGGTGGCCTCCTTTCAGGCTAAAGAGCACGAGGATTACTGTGGGACCCGCACCGAGCCCTGCCCCGTCTGCAAATGTAACGTTATGCTGAGAGAACAACACATCCATCCAGCCCTGTGCGGAAGTCTGACTCCACCTCAGGAGAGGCACAGTAGTAGGGCCCAGACCCCAGGAGCATGGTTTGAGGCACATTCAATCTATAACCTTATACACAATAATAACAGCACGGGGGCAGCAGACCGCAGGGGTCCGCCACGACCCTTGGAGGACAGACTACACAACAGCACCAGAGGAACAGTGAGGGGAGGAACCAGGAGAAACGCAGAAACAAGGAACAATGATTTTGCTTATTGTATGTATCCATCTGGCTGTTTTAGTCCTTATTCAGAAAAAAAATATTCACAATAAACTAGGGATGGATGATATAGCCTTGACAGATATGTGCAAATATTAGACTTTTTTTTTAATTTATCCAGTCTGTAGATATTGGATATTCAATTGTGAATTTCCCCTGCAAATGAGGCACAGACACAAATCTGAAGTGGCAATTAGGCGTCTTTATACAGACTGTTTAATGGTGCTTAAAGGTGGCATAAATACATTTACACAGCAATTAAAAGTAAATTACTAAAATTATACTAGGGGCTGAGGTGGGTCAGAGCAACATTTAATCTGGCTTTTATGCTGCATTGCATCTTCACACAGAATATCGAACAGACACAAAGCAGATGTGTAAAGATGCTTTTAGATTACTTTTGTTGTCGTCATCTAACACTTCAAGTTAATCTTTTAAAACTACTAATAATTTAATAACACTGTTAAATGTGATATTTATCAAATCTCAATTTATTTTAATTTTTAGTACTCTAAACCCCCGGTTTCGCAGACAAGCCTTAAAGGGGTCATATGATGCGATTTAAATTTTTCCTTTCTCTTTGGAGTGTTACAAGCTCTTGGTGCATAAAGAAGATCTGTAAAGTTGCAAAGACTAAAGTCTCAAATCCAAAGAGATATTCTTTATAAAAGTTAATAGTCAACCACGCCTACCTAAAACGCCTTGTTTAAACACACCCCCACATTCCTACGTCACGATGTGGGAAGATTTGCATAACACCGCCCAAA